ACAGTTTGTCGCGTGCTCGTGACAAGAAAACGTGGTGCCCGCAGCCACTTGTTTGCATCCCAACATCACTGGCTGGTACAGGCTGTTCGGCTTGTTTATGTGTCCAGTGCGCAGGTGCCGCCACAAAACGTAAACAATGCTCACAATCTGACAGTTGACAGTTGACACAGGGACACCAGGATGCGGACTGGGTTTTGGGCAAGCGACTGCTTGGCCACTTGACATGCGCTCGACTCTGTGCCTTCTGGCGCCATAAGGCGTGTTTCACAGTTTTTAAGCCATCGCAAAACGATAACCGCAAAAACCAGGGGCGCAAAAAGTAAACAAACAAATTGTTGGTGACACAACATAACCTGGCAGCTACTTGAAACGTAAACAGATCCAGCACAAAACACACACAACCCAAACGATCGGCACACAGTGGGTGTAAGTTAATATAAACTGCACAGAAATGAAATGTGAATATTTGGAGATTTCTAAAAAGAAAGACAAGGAGCGCATTAAAAATAATCTTAAAACATCTATAAATCAAACAAGTAGCTACTTCTGTTTAAATATGTAAAAATAATACAACGCAAATGTTTATTTAAAAATTGAATTATATATATATACATATACAATACTTTCTCATAATAAGCAAAATACCAAATCAAATAAAATGTGTTATTTATAAATAATTGGTCACGGGAAAGGAACTCTGGTATGCACCCTGTATTTTTACTATTTACGAATTCGCTTGCAATTCTCAACCGATTTATGCTTGAAACAGCTGTGAGGTACTTGAATTGTTATACGCCTTCTTGTCTTTTGCTTATTAATTATAAACAAGTTATTTAAAATCAATTCAATATTTAATATTAATTTTCATATCCCGAACCCATCGATAAAAATATAAATATGTAACAGATAGACGAAAGCATATCCCCGCAAAGTATATACTTATATTCTTAACAGCATCAATAGCCGAGTCGATCTAGCCATGACTGTCTGTCTATCCGTCCGTCTGTCCATCTGCATATCTTATTTCAGGGTTATGAATAGTCCATAATGTGCTTAGTACCTAAATTTAGGACAAATAGCATTTGGCTTTTATTAGTATTGATATCTAAAGCAGGCAAAGTCTTTAGCAGCCAGAGTTGGCATTCCTTAAACTAATGAGAATTAATTTTGAAAGCGCATTTCTAGTAAATAAACACAAGAAATAAAGGGTTGTTTTTTCATAAATAACTCAGCAAATAAATCTTTCAGCTTGAAAACTAACTTGACCGAACTTGATATAGAGCAGCCTGCAATCAATATCTATCGTCGTCATTGCTCAATATCATCTAGCTACCATATTAGATGTTCGTCAAAAAAAAATATATATAGTAACAAACGATCGTTTATTTATGCTACTAGCAAATACACAATATTAACAATATGATACAAAACAACCTGATCTGATTTCTGCAATAAATATATTATCTGTGGAACTTCAATAATAATCCTACTTCCTCATTACTCTACCTCTGGCTTTTTATGCACCAAAAACAGCACAGTGTCCACTGTAATTGGCTTCAATATTTAGCTGAGGCACACTTCCGCTTCAGCGGCGATGGATATGAAGTTTGAGACGGAGCAGGGTGAGGAGTGCAGTTGTCGCCTCTGCGGCAGCAGCTCATTAATTACATTCGCAGCTACCACAAGAAATATTGTCGCAGGCAGCACTAAAAATAACTCCGGAGGCTGCAACAATCAGCAACAGTTGCAACATAGTATAAATCTTATGGGGCATGCTTTGATCGCAGGCACAGGAATGCCATGCATTTTCGATTATAGACTCTGCGAGCAGGTAGAAAAGTGAGACAAGGATAATGTGGCATTGTGGCACACCCGCTGTGTATGAGTGTGCGTATGTGTGCAGACGCTCACAAGTCAATTGCGTTGAATCCACTTGACGCGACGCCAGTGAAAACAAACAAACAAACTAAAGGCACTGCGAGACGCAGCAGGGTTGTGGGTTAAGTGACAAGCGGCAACAACACCAGACAAGGATGCTGGCGAGCGGCGCTAAGCGACGGCGAGCGACGGCGAGCGGCCGTGAGAAAAATCTGAGAAAAATTACAGAAAAACAGCAGCAACAACAACAGCGGCAGCAGCAACAGCAGCAGCAGAAAATCCAACGATTGGGATTTGTCTGCTCGTCTGGGGTCGATCTCGACGTGCTCGGCTCCTCAGTTGCCAGTCGACGGTCGCGTCTCTCAGTTGTCGCCGCGGCGCTGTCGCATGATATAATAAAAGAATATAAATAAATATAAATATAATAAATAAATGCTTATTTTTATTTGAGCTACGTGCGCGGATTTAAGTGACTATAATTGAATTGAAAGTGCAAACTGCGTCAGTTACAGATACAGATACATTTACGGCTACTACTACAGATACGGATACATTAAGAGATTTGCCGTAGACTCGAAACGGATTGAAGGGCGCGTGTTGCACGTTGGCACGCGCCGTATGCCGCTGTGAGTTTTCCTTCCCCCACTTTCCCCATTCCATGCAATTTTGTGTTTTATAAATAAAGCGTGTTATTTTTGTCGGCAACTGCAGCCGCTTAGCTGCCAAATGCTGTGTATCCATAAGATACACGCACTAAAAACAAAGACGTCGCCCAACTAGTGACGCTTTTATGTGCAATTCACATATTTACAATTTGCGCAGCTCTAAACATTTTACGGCCCCGTTTACGGGCGCAGTTTTTCGAGAAAAAAAAACTCAAAATAAACCAAAATATCGGCAACTACAAGCGAATTTTCCTTGCGATCGGTCTTTGACGTCGCGACTTGTTGTTGTTGTTGTCGTTGTTGTTGTCGTCGCTTTTCTTGTCTGCGACACTCGCTAAATATATATTCATGTGCAGATAGATATTTTCTCAGTATATACGTGAGTCTATGTAAATACAAGCCTATATATCTGCCTGTGTATATACTATCTGTGACTTCCGTTTGCCGCGATCGTTCGAGTTGATGTTTTTTGCATTTTGATTTATTGCCGTGCCACTCAAAAGTGCTTGTACTGGGCGGAGGATTTTCTATTAAAAGCAACAAAAAATGTGCTTCGGATGGAACCTCTAATGATTGCTAATGTCCGCTTGTGTCGGTATGTGGATCAAAATATTAATGATGCGTGCCCAAATGGATTATTTAACTTGTTCTTGTTGTTGTTGTTCTTTAATTGCGGCGGTTGGCAATAGCAGATTTTATTATTTTCAGTAGATAAATACGAAAGCATGCCAAGCATTTTAATAAACTAAATTGCATCAATTTCTGACCTTTGCGACTTTATAGTGTTCCGTGCAAAAGGTTGATGTTGGTTAACATGTAACTTTCGCGTTAGTTTTTGTTATTGTTTACTGAACTGCACTGCAGGTACTTTTGCCTAAGAGAGATTGGATATACATACCTGTTTGCTTAAGTCTACCTGTCGACATGTCCTCACACTCACAAAGTTCCAATTTGTCTCTGAATGGTCCGTTTCAGATCTTTGGAGCAGGCCATTTAACTAAGCCAAGGCTAGATTAACTTATATTTAATATTGATTTTTTAAATTATTAATTTATTTATATTATTTATTTTATTGTAATTATTCATTATTTTTATGATTGTTAGTTTTTATAGTGTGTACGTTCTTTGTATTATGTATTTGTATTTTCTGCAATAGGAATATATGTTCCTGCCTAGCATCAATAGAGAATGCTGCGTGTCTCTACGTATCTCTCTCAGAGATCATAAGAACTGGATTCATGAAATTATTCACGAGCTCCATCTAGAGATTGTCTTATAACTTTATTCGTTTCCATGAAATCAATCGGAATTGATATCGCCATACTTTTCCTTGAGCATATGTCAAATGAACTTTTTCTTTCTCTTGAATAACTCCCCTCATTTCTGCAGAAAATTATATAAGCTGTGCTATTTACACACATTGGGATGCCATATCTATATCTTGATAATTTCATAATGAGGGCACACTAGCATTAAAATATAATTGACCTTTAACTTATATATAACAACTAGCTGGCGATTAGCAGTCAATAGTATTGTATGCAATATCCAATTACTTGCTGGGGGACAACTCGATTCATTGGTAAATTAATCAAATCCAATGAACAGGCAACAGGATGCTGCAGCTGTTCGGCAATAATAAGAAAAACAAGCGTCAAGCAGTTGCTAGGCCACAGATTATCCATGCGCGCGAGTTGGTAGCATGATAAATGCGTTTATGCCGCATCCGTGCAACTGATTAGATGAAATTACAGACGCACGCGCCCAGGCAGCAGCAGGAGCAGCAGCAGGAGGAGCGGCGGGAGGAGCAGCAGCAGACGCAAGTGGCGGCGAGGACACAACTGAATCCAATACGTTGCCACCATTAAGTCTGAGACAGCCATGAGCATCCATATCTATATCTTTGTCTGTGACTGTGGCACAAGGCAAGAGGGGCCAGCGGGCCAGCGGGCATTTGGGCCCACTTGCACTTGAGGCGCGTTGCAGGCGCAAATTGAAAAAGGAAACGTAATGCAGGCTAAGCTGACGCACGGCCATGCCCATAGCCAAACGCCCACTGCCGCCAATGGCACTGTTGCCATTTGCCATGCAGCTAAATTAAATTTCCAGCAGTTTGCATTAATATCCCAAACGCCGACCGACAGAGCGCGCCACTGAGCCAGCATCACGCCCCACCCCACGCGGCGCCTCCGCCATGCGGAGCCAACAGCAACAGCTTTTGCCGCCATAACTTTTACAGCGAGAGTCCTTTAACAGCGAGTAGGCAAACGTCTGTCTGTGTATCCTGCACACAGCTCGATTTCAGCGCAGGATATTCGTTTAACCTGCGCCCCGACGCTGCGATGCTGTGGCGAGAGCCGTGAGCCGAGACGCCAGACGCTGGTCGTGTCGCTGGCCGACGTCTGCCGCTGGATGCTGCCTTGAAGCTGGGCAGCTCCGCACGAGAATTTCCCAATTTCAGTCATCGTTTGCCGAGCGTCGTGCGCGCAAGTATCCAACAGATACGGATACACCGCATCTAAAACAACTGCAACAACAACAACAACAAGAGCAGCAGCAGTAGCTAAAAAAAAAAAAGAAAAGAAAAGAAAAAATTTTGTCCGCCGTAAGAGCATAGAAAATTTTAGTGAAAAAAGTGGAAAAAGGAAAAAGTGTCAAAACGCAAATGTGTGTTAAAGTGTTTTTTTTTTTCCACGAGAATAAAATTAGTTTAGATATCGGATAAAACAGCACTCAGTATCTGCTTATCTGGCGCGTTATGGTAATTGAAACGATATTTGGGCTAAGATACATACAAAATTTGGCAGGTTGCAAAAAAGTTGCAAAAGAAAATTCAATTGAGAATCCTTTAAAATATGAAAAGAATAAGAAATTTTTGCGAGCTGTAGCAGAGAAAAATTCATTACTTTGCTGGTGTGTGTGCGCGTTGTGTTGTGGGAGTGTGTGACTGCGTGTGTCGTGTATGCTATATGGTGTGTTTTTGTGTGTAGTATCTTTTGTGCGCTTCTGTATCTATGTATCTGTGAGATACGCAAAACAATTTGTCTGCGCCATTAGTAGCGAACGTTCCTCTTGACGTGTACATGTACGTGCGTGTGTGTGTGTGTGTGTATGTGTGTGTGTGCGTCTGTGTGTGTATATCATGCGCACAGCAGCCAACGCCGACATAGCTGTGCGCTGCGTTTCGCGTTGGGGCTGGTGATGGTCCAGAGCCTTGGAGCCCTACAGGAGACACCACCAACAGTAGCTGCGGCAGCAGCGCAACATTTGCGGCGTTGACGCAGCTTCAACTCGTCGCAGTTGTTGTTACCGCTGTGTGTGTATCTGCAAAATACGCTCACACATACACACACACACACACACACTCACACGCACACACACTCATCAATTTCCAAGCTCGCAGATTTTTTTGCAACCTTTTATATTTGCTTTAAATACAAATAATATCAATATAATTATGTTGCATATTTATATTATTTATTCATGTTCTTCTTATTTGACAATATTATGTTTAAAACAAATAAACTAAATCAAATGACTAATTAATGAGCCTATGAAAACAGTCTTAATCAAAGAATATGGTAATTTTTGATTTCTGGGAATTTTCATTAATTGCCAATAGTTTTTCTGCAGCTTGTTGATGCAGCCATGACATGCATTATTAATTACATATAATTCCTGGAAAGGCCAATCTGCTTTTTCCGATAACATTGTAGAAGTTACATGCATTTAATGCATATAATTATGAGAAATTGCTTTTGGAATTGCATTTATGGGAAATAAAATATGTTCAAATTTTACGTTTATGTAAATTATACAGCTGATGGGTTAAACAGGTTGTTGGTCTCAAATTAACATTGAAACTGAATTCTAAATGTCATTTATATATTCAGTTTTATAGCCTGACAGACTTTTGATTATGATCTTGTATTAAATCTCATATAGTATACGGTTTAAGCTAGGTTAAGGTGGCAAATAGATTTCATGGTGGACCTTAATCAGAGGGAAAGGTCTTTGAAATTTTATTGGCCAATCGATGTGTGGCCTAGTTTTCTTAAACATTCTGCTAAGAGCACCTAGTTCTTCAGTGCAGATGTTAAACCACCTAGGCTTTATGTAAACTTGATGTTATCTTCAATTTAAAAATATATTTCGAGCGAGATACACTCTGTTGCGTGTTTCTAAGAATTTACAACGAGCTTTGGCAACTTCAATTTTTGTACAATCAATTTCCAAGCTTTAACAATAAAATTGAATACGTATATTGATCAGCTTATGACAATGCCGAAAACTATTAAAAGAATTCAATAATGCTTTGGTCGAGCAAAGCCGCATAATATTTGCTAGTGTACTAGCACACAGAACCTTGAGTTATTTTTAATCAACTGCTCTCTATTCTATTAGATTACGATTGTAGTTAATTGAAACTGAAAACCTAAAACAAAATATAATTATAGCGCAAACCTCCCACCATCCGTTTTAATTAAGTTGGAAAAGCGATGTAGTTGCAGCAACAGCAGAAGCAGCAGAAGCTCTGCAATATGCGCTCGAGTGATTTTTCCTTAGAATCAGCGCCAAGTGGCCGCTTCAGATAAACTGACGCTGCCAACTAACTAGGAAGGCGCGTGCGGAAAACTTTTCCGTCCGACCACACACACACACACACACGCGCATACATGCACACACAAAAAGATATAAATAAAATTGACATATTGCTGCAGTTCCTGTGGCCTGGTTGATGATCTCCTGTTCCACTTGACGGGAGCAGCGACAGCGACATGTCCCCAGCTCATGTGCACTTGTGCGTATTTTGAACCCGTTCCGCCTGTGTATCCCACTTCCAAATGCACGCCCACTCCCCATCCACTCCCCCGCCCACTCCAACTCCAGCTGGCTGACGTGCTGCTTTGGCTAGTTAGCTCTAGAAAACTTTCGTCCTGGCAGCTTCTTTCGCTGCGCTTTGCTCAGCTTCAGCTCGCACAACTTTCAGCTTCAATTGCGTTTCCGTTTTGCACTCGCTGCGATGCGGGATTGCGTATACGCGCCGTGGCACCGAGTCTGGAGGTTCAACTCGCTGCTTTTGGCATATTTCGCCTTACTTCTACTACACATGTGTGTACATGTGTGCGTGTGTGTGTGTGATTGCAAGTTTTGTGTGTATTTACAAATCTGTTTTGTTGTTGTTTTCGTTGTGCTGCTGGTTGTACAACTGCGGCAGCCATTTTTTATAGCATACTTAGCGTACTATGAAGTTACACACACTCGCAGAGAGAAAGCAACTGAGAGAGAGGGAGAGAGAGAAAGCGAGTCAGTTGGCTAAAGCGAAAGAGAACGACAGGGAGAGCGTGAGAGTTATACACACTCTCACGCATAGCGAGTGAAATTCGCTGTATTTTCTTGCAGATTTTCGGCAGCTACACACAAATTTCCCAACTTTTCGCATGTAATGTTTTATTTTTGTCTCTTTTGCCGTTTGCCTCGCCAAAAGCAACGATTGCCATTGGACGAACGATAGCAGAAACAACAACAACAACAACATGGGGGGCTACAAGTACTATATACAGGCGACACGAAAATGGCTAAAAGAAAAATTTCAATTCCAAATACAACAAATGCACTTCTGCCTATATCTTAGCCCACCACCCTCCCTTCCCCACAGCTGCACAGTCCGCCAAGAAAAAACGAAAATGGCGTTGTGTATGCAAGAGTAGCTGTCTATGTGTGTCTCCCTGTGTGTGTGTGTGTGTGTGCGTGTGTGTGTGTGTGGGTACATGGCCAAAGTAAAATGTTAAAAGTGAAATTATACGACGCCCCAGGAATTGTGTGTAGTATTTGCAGCGAGTAGCTAAGTCAGCCCAAATAGTTCAAGTATAGAACTAGCCGAATAGTTCGAGTCCCAAAAAATTCAATTGGTTTTTCCAGATCAATTATTGCGATAATATTTTCATGCCACAATGGCAATCTTATGTGTGTGTTCTGTTAGGAAGAGAGATAAATACTTGAATATTTACAGAAATATGCGCTTTTCAAATTTTCCAAGAAAAAATTTACTCGAAACAAATAATTTACAAAATCAATTAAGGAAGCAACAACATCTGAATAAAAATGTTCAAGCTCAACAGGCATATTAAGACAAGAATAAATATGCATACCATATTATATATTTGATAGATGTTAATTAGATTTGTTCATATATAAAGAGAGGAGTAAAGCTCAAGTCTGCTAAGGTTGAGTAGAACATATTGAACAACTTAATGTTTGCATATAAAGAACTCTAATTATGCCTGTCAAATTAATTTGTACACATCATGAAAATAACCTGTCAGAGAATTGCACATTTATAAATATTTATTAAACGATTCAATGGCTTCTGGAATTATTCCCAGAATTTTCATATTTATTTCTGTAATATATATTTTAGTTGTAATGACATGTAAAAAAAAAATATAATTATCTGTGGGGTTCGCATCATTTTAATTTTGCAATTAACATGTATTAAATAACATTCTGGGAACTTTTAACACATGTTTTTTGTTAGAGCACAGTTGAGTTCTATTTTAAGAAATGTGAAGCAAAAAGTTTTTCAATAATATAAATTAGCTGAAAAGCTAACCACAAAAGTCAGTAACTTTTTTTTGTTGCTAGCCAAATAAAAGAGATATGTTATATATTGTGAAAATTTTGATTGTGCACTCATGTGCAAGGCTGGTTGTAGTTCCAAGAAATCTTTCTCCCCCAGAAGGTAGGGGCACTTAAGAGCTTTATCATTGACCCATTTTCGGTTAGTTTTAGACTCCATTAACAATGCAGGCAGGCAGCTTGTGTGCTTGCTTGAGACAAATTGCAAGCTGCACTCGGCAAACGTCAAACAAAACGAATTCCAGCATCGATTTTTATTTTATTTTTGTCCAAATTGTGGGCCTTTGACCATGAGATGGGTAGCAATCAGCCCTTTTCGCTTACTTGCCGGGCCTTTATTGCATTTTTCGTGTTCTATTGTGCGAAAATTGTTCAATGCCTGGCGGCTGGGCTCAGAGTGCATTTAGCATTTGGCAGCTGACAGTTTCTGGATATTTGATGTTATTTGATGCACACAGCCCCCGCAGGCCACGGAGGGGGTTACGGGATTGCAACAGCTGTATTGACTGTGGGCTGTATGCTGTGGGCGATTTGTTGTATTTCAATTTGATTTTTATGCTCTGTTCGCAAACTTACGAAGGGTATATCAAGTTGGAGCAAAGTTCGGCGTCCGTCAGAAAATTTTCATATATTCATTTTTAGAAAATAATTTATTTTTTTCAAGTAATTTATTTTTACATGTTAGAAAATATTTGATTTTTTTTAAAAAGAAATTCTGGTGGGAAATATGTTTTGAAAAGAACTAACCATTCTATGTCAAAATGAATATGAGCTGCTTAAAGTTTAAGAGTCACCGCCTTAGAGTAACAGTCTTAGAGTAACAAGCCCAATAATCAAACACGATGTGCAGCTCATAGTTAAGCTGAAAGCCGGTTCTATATGCGCAGTCGTTGCTACCCGATTCAGGCACTTCGTTTCGCGTAGCTGACAGGTAATGGAAACAGGATGTTAAAGGGTTAACAATATGAAAATGTCAGAACGTGGGCAAATGTAACGGTATCTGTGGCACGTGCTAAAAGTCAAAAGTCATGAGCCGTTTTTAATTTGCATATTTGTTGCTCTTACTCTCATTTACAGATTGTCGCTCAAGTTGCCGAACCACAACAACAGCAAAGCTAACAAAGCACCACACACACGCACACTCCCACACGCCCATTAGCACACGCACATAAGCACACGCCTACACACCCACATACAAACTCACATACACATACACATAATAGCGAGCAATGTGCTGCCTGCATCTGAAGAACTTTAAATGCGCGATTCGAGTGCCCGCCCAGCGGTCAGCAAAGACATTGCCCAAGTGCCATAAGAGTTAAGGCGGCAGTCCGTGGTACTACTTAAAGGTTAACAGCAGCAGCTGCTGGACATAACCAAAAAGCAACAGCACTCATTAATTGTCACACGTATTCACACACAAGTAAGCGCCACTCACGCCTACACACACACGCATACACATTCGCACGCTTGAACAGCGTCAGCTGTACAGCATGCCACGCCCACTAGTGCTGATGCTCAGCCTGGTGCTGGTGCTGCTAAGCGGGCCGGTATGGGCGCAGCGTCCGCTGCTGAATCACACCTTCAACTCGCTGCCCATGTCGCAGCACCAGAGCAACAGCTACAACAACTACAACTATCAGGGTCCGGGCAAGCAGCTGCGGAATGGACGCCTGCACGAGCAGCCGCAGCCGTTGCCGCTGCCCACACTGCCGGGCCTGGCACAGCCCGTCCATGTCTATGACGACTACGAGGGGGAGGCGAGCGCGGGCACCTTTGGTTCACGGCCACCGCCGGGCAGCCGGCGCGATACACGTCGCCGCCTTAATCTGTCGCACGTGGGCGCTGGCGGTGCGCCACGCCCTGAGCGCGGCAACGGGCAGCGCGGCATTGAGTCGCTGCGCAAGGAGCTGATGAAACCATCGGTTGGCGGTCCCGGCGGCGGTATCTCCGGCAGCAGCGCCGGCTATGCCTCCTACTCGGCCACCTCTTCCATTGGCAAGATCGATGGCCTAGGCGGCATCGGTTCCGCGGATCGTTACGGCGAGCGACTACGACAGCCCACTGGTGCAGCGGCCATGACAGCTGGTCCGGCAACGGGGCCGTATTCCACAAGATTTCCGCCGCTCTACGCGGGCTTGGATAGCCAGCCGATACGCACGTATCCGCGCAAGAATTCCATCAGCGAGCTGCTCAAGCTGAAGAAGAGCTTTAACCAGGCGGACGAACCGGCCGGTGGTGTAACTCACGGCAACATGGAGGGCGACACCGATGCCGATGTGGATCAAATTGATCCCATCCAACAAATCAAGGAGCGCATTCGGGACACAGCGCCAAAACCGGTGAGTAGTGGGTAGAGGACTCGATACAGCGCCCGAATGGAAACTCAATTGAACTTAACATTTTATTTTCTGCTCGTGCACCACCTTATACAGAACACATATTCACCACACACGGAATCAACGCCATCTACGGAAATCGAAGATTTGCTGGGCGTCAAATGCAACTTTGAGACGCCCTGCGCCTGGATTTGGACAGAGAATCTGTCCGATGGTTTTCAGGTGCTCAGCGGCACAGAGCTGGCCAAGAAGAATATGACGGGTCTGTTGCCTGGACCCGTGGCGGATAGCATAGATGATGCCAATGGTCACTTTTTGTACGCCCGGGTGCAGCCCACCACAAAGCAGCTGAATTTGACGTCGCCGTCGTTCAGCACCACTTTGGAGAAGTGCTATCTGGAGGTTTACATGCATCAGAGCGATATGAGTCATGGACTGTCGCGTGTGGTCGTGGAACCGTTGCATCCGCAGGAAAGCAGCTGGGTGCCAGCCGAAATACAGGGGGACAATTTTCGATCGTGGACGCACAAGATATTTCGCCTCGGACGCATCTCGCGTGATTTTCGCATCGTATTCGAAATTGTGCCCGAACTGAAGCAGGGCCAGAAGGCGCATGTGGCACTGGATAATCTGCGCATGGTCAACTGTTTTCCGGAGGGCACCAAATCAGAGAAGTGCAGCACCTCGCAGGTCAAGTGCATGATGAACAAAGTGCCCGTTTGTATACCCCTGCCACGGATTTGCGACATCACGCGCGACTGCGACGATGCCGAAGATGAGCTGCAGTCATGCGGTGAGTTTCCACAGATCATCTATCTTAAGCTCAATAGTTCATGCTGTTATCTCTTTCAGACAAGATACCCTATGGTGGTCGCTGTGACTTTGAGGATGACTGGTGCGGCTGGCGCGACTCTGGCAGAACCACATTGATTTGGTCGCGACACACTGGCTCCTCGCCCACTCACGACACTGGACCCGATGGCGATCACACACAACAGCATCTGCTGAACACCACTGGGGGCTATTATATGCTCGTCAACATGAATCAGCACATCAACAATACCGAAAAGAGCTCGATTATTGGCTTTGCCAGCAATGCCATCATGCTCAGCAAGAACTTCAATCCGCCGCCCTCTGTGCACGGTAATCCCGACTCGCCCTATCGCAACTCGTGCGTTGTGCGTTTCTACATCCATCAGTTTGGCAAGAATCCAGGCAGCATTAATCTATCCGTTGTCGAAATGAAGGAGAAGGAAAATATAACCACCACGCTCTGGTGGAGCAGCAAGAACCAGGGCAGCGATTGGCTGCGAGCCGAATATGTGCTGCCCAATATTACATCCAAGTAGGCCAAATATACTGATTAGCCCGCTGAAATTCTCCCATTAAGCCCGAGATATTTCTCCACAGATACTACTTACAATTTGAGGCGCGCATGGGCATGCGCATCTTCTCGGATGTGGCAGTCGATGACTTTTCTCTAAGCCCCGAATGCTTTGGCCTCAACATACCCGAAGAGCATCTTAACGGATACAACTATTGGGACGTTAGACAAAATCTTAAGAGCCCGACACATCACGACTTTGACCATACCAACTGTGAGTAAAAGTTCTTTATATAGCTTGTAACGTTTTAATTGATATAACGCTAAGAGTCGTGTACCCTGAATCCATTGAAAATATGTAAGAAACGTGTAAAAAGGAAGACTGGGCACAGCTGTATGTGTTTTTGTGTATCTCTATATAAAAAACTGTTTGACCTGACTGACTGATTGGTGATCAACAGTCCAAGCCGTAAAGGCTAGGCAGCTGAAGTTTTCACGTGAGGACAGGATTTTTAAAAACTCGACCCGCATGTGTGTAGAAATCGTGAAAAACAGTTGTATGTAACTTTTTTGATTAACATCCAATCGGCTTCAAACTCATTTTTCTTTCTTTGTTCAAATTCATTTGAGGGGTGGCACACTCTTTTCCAAAAATACATTCCTCCTTGGTGGAAATGGGGGTTAAAGATTTGATAAGTGACGTTTCCTGTTCAAATATCCATACAAAAAATCAATTGAGACGCTTTTCCAAGAATCCAAGCTTTTCCGGTGGAAATACGATTCAACGATTTTCAAAGCAACAACAATTTCATGAAAAACAAAAAACGGTTGCATGAAAGTTTTTTGCTGCGGCCTTAAAACCCTTTTCTAAGAGCTGTGTGAGAATTTATTTGGTACGTTCTTGGGTGGGTGGAAGGATAATAAACGAAAGCTAATGCTTCAATACTTATGCTTATTTTTCACCGCAACACTAACATGGGCGAATATCATTGATATCAACACTTGGTTCTCCATTCGATGCACTTAAAACATATTTTTAAATAGAATTGAGGATGAAGATGGGTAGACTTTAATTTTCAACGGAAAGGTATTGTCTAAATTTTTTAGCAAAAATGTTCCACTGGCAAGGCCAGGCAATACCTGTTAGTACATGTATAGAAGGATGACCCCAATTCTCGTAACGACGCCTTGGCGCTAGATTCATACTAACTCCTACTCGGGCTTCCGACTAGTACACTCTTGTTTTTTTTTAAGAAGAGCTAGTCTAATATTTTGTATCTACCACCAAAACAGATCTAGAGTTGACAACTTGCGACACAAGAGGCATGATAGGACCAACGCAAACGCAGTGCGAAAGCGCCTACAAGGAGCAGAATCAGAGCCATGTGCTGCGCGAAGTCCACGTTGTGGAGGATCAGAGCACCTACAAAGGCATGCAAAAATGGAAGGTGCCCAACGAGGGTCACTACACGTAAGTTTTCTTATTCTTACCCAAACTGCAATTGGTTAACTCACTGGTTGCATTGCAGCATTATTGCCAAGGGCGCCAGTGGTGGCCTGGGCTCTGGAGGTGTGGGCAGTTCTCGTGGCTCTGTTGCCGTCGCGGTGCTGGAGCTGCTCAAAAACGAGGAGCTTTATTTCCTCGTTGGCCAGCAGGGTGAGAATGCCTGTATTAAGTCCATGGGAGTACACAAGGAAGCGGGCTGTGGCACGGAGCATGATCTGGACCTGGGACAATACAGTTTTCGCTCCAAGCAGGACATGGTGAAGAACATTTATATTGAGAATGGCGCTGGTGGCGGTGGCGGTGGCTCCTTTGTCTTTCTGCTCAACCAAGCCAAAAACGAGGCGGTGCCGCTGCTGGTTGCCGGCGGTGGCGGCGGCCTGGGCATTGGCCAGTACATAGATGAGGATTTTCAGCATGGCCAGAAGGCCAAGCCATTGCAGGCGCCCGAAAGTGGTCAGATTCATGGTGAGCAGCTAAACAAGAAAACCGCCGGACCCGGCGGCGGCTGGCGCGCCAAAGAGGATCAGGCGTTGAGTCCCACCTATGGGGCTGCGCTGCTGCAAGGCGGACGCGGCGGTCACTCCTGCTACGTGGAGCTGGCTGACAACGGCACCACGGTGCATAGACATGGCCAGGGTGGCTTTGGTGGCGGCGGCGGTGGCTGCAACACCGGTGGCGGCGGAGGCGGCTACGCGGGCGGTGATGTGTACCTGAACGAGTCGAACGGCGAAGGTGGCAGCTCTTACATCAGCAACAGTCGCAGCCTAAGAGATGCCAGCGAGATATATGCGGGCGCCAGCAGCGGCTCAGGTGCCATTATCATTATTCCAGCCATTGAGGGTTGCGGCTGCGACTATCGTTGCGTGGCCCTGGATGAGTTTAGGTCCAAGGTGCGTTGCATCTGTCCGGATGGCTGGAGTCTGAAACGGGACAACAACACAGCCTGTGAGCGACAGGAGGAGGCCGGCAAGTCTTCCTTCCAGTATCTGGTCTCCATACTAATGGTCTCCCTGGCCGTGCTCTTCATCTGCATAGCTGCACTCATATTTATGCTATGTAAGTTGGCGCCCCTCCCCGTCAAAAGTTATTTTCATAAAATCTTCTTACGCTCCATGCAGACAATCGTTACCAGCGCAAAAAGCAGGCCAAGATGCGCCACAAGATGCTCGTCGAACAGGATCTGCAGCTAAGTCGCCTGCGCCACAACGCTGATGACTCCAATCTGAACAATTTTAATCCTAACTATGGCTGCGATGGCATTCTAAATGGTCACATAGATGTCAACAGTCTGCCGCAGGTGGCACGTGAGAGTCTACAGCTGGTCAAGTGAGTATGCTTCAGTTTCCTGGCAACCACCTGGCTTTCAACTTTCCCTCTTTTTCCCATCTTACCCCAGTGCCTTGGGCAAAGGCGCCTTTGGTGAGGTATACCTGGCGTTATATCGCCATCGCGATGGCGATGCTGTAGAAATGCCAGTGGCTGTGAAGACACTGCGTGAGGATCCCAAGCGTGAGAAGGAGGAGGATTTCCTTAAGGAAGCCGCAATTATGGCCAAGTTTAATCATCCGAATATGGTGCATCTAATCGGCGTCTGCTTCGATCGTCAGCCCTACTATATTGTCCTAGAGCTGCTCGCCGGCGGTGATCTGCAAAAGTTTCTGCGCGAAAATCGCAATACGCCCGAACGACCCTCGCTGTTAACCATGAAGGATCTGCTATTCTGCGCCCTTGATGTGGCCAAGGGCTGTCGCTACATGGAGAGCAAGCGGTTCATTCATCGCGACATTGCCGCTCGCAACTGTCTGCTGAGCAGCAAGGGACCAGGTCGTGTGGTGAAAATAGCTGACTTTGGCATGTCCCGGGACATATACCGATCGGATTATTATCGCAAAGGCGGCAAGGCTATGCTGCCCATCAAATGGATGCCGCCGGAGGCTTTCCTCGATGGCATATTCACATCGAAAACGGATGTCTGGTCCTTTGGCATACTGTTGTGGGAGGTGTTCAGCTTGGGCCGTTCGCCATATCCCGGCCAGCATAATACACAGGTCATGGAGTTGGTGGTGCGCGGTGGACGTCTTGGCTCACCGACCGAATGTCCCGTGTCCATTTACAAGATCATGGCCGACTGTTGGAATCCCACGCCCGAGGATCGACCCACTTTCACCAGTCTGTTGGAGCACTTAACCGCCTGCACACAGGATGCGAGCATTATGAATGCCCCGTTGCCCAATATACTGGGTCCGACGGCCTCTGAGCGTGATGAAACTGTTATACGACCGCCAAATGGCGACGAGTTTTGCCTGGCTGTGCCGGACTATCTAGTGCCGCTGCCCGGCAACGGCATGCCACATGCACCCGGTGGTGTTGGTGGCTCCTATGCACCCACTGTTCAGCGCCAGCAAAACACCTGCACGCCGCCAGCTGTCACCTCGCCCGCCGCACCCAAGCCACCCCCAATGCCGGAACATCTAGAGGGTGCCGCTGCGCTTAACGGCGGCGGCAGCGATTGCTGGGAAACCTCCTTCATACTACCCAATTCGAAGAGCGATCAGCCGCTGCTCAGCGCCGGCGCCATTACAACGATGGCCAGCGGCGACTCGCAACGCAATCTGCAAGCGGCTGCAGCTGTCGCATCCATGGCTGCCTCTGCCACGGCCACGCCCATACTACGCTCGCCCACGCACAGCGATGAAGCGAAGTTGATTAGCTTGGATACACCGCAGCCGACGCCGACGACCATACAACCGCCGCTGTCGTTTGCCTCACAATTGGACGGCATCACGCTAGATCCGGCGGCTTTGACCAAGAGCCTGACTAACGGTGGTGCACACAATGGTGCTACTGGTCCCACTGGTGGTGCTGCTGTTGGTGTTGCTCTTGGTGTTGCTGCCAATGGCATCGCCAAACAGTCCTATGCCAATGTACAGGTGCAGCTGAAGGGCGAACAGGAGCGGGAGTGCAGCAAACTGAATGGCAGCCTGCCCACTGGCAATGGAGCGATTATCAATGGAGAGACAGCGGCAGGCGGCGCCAGTGCAAATGATTCACCCTTCACCATACAAGGCTATGCGGAGCGTTACAAGGACAACAACAATCATTCCGAAATCAGTTGTTAGAGCAGCATAGCACATGATGTTAAACACAGGCTGACTGTTTGTGTGAATTTACCGCTGGAGGGTGTCGCACGGCTGCAGGCTCAAAGCTTGCCCAAGGCCGAAGTTATCGATCATTCATTGCAGCTTGTGAATACGGATATGTCTTGTTTAGGGCCCCGGCCCCAGTCACATTTTGTTTGAGAGCTAAAACGCATTATGCATATTTATGGCAAAAACAAACAGAAAGAAAAAAAAAAAACAAATCGAGTGAGAAGTTCACAAAAATTGTATTGTAATTTATAATTAAAAATTTGTATGCGTCATAGAACACACACAGACACACACACATAATAACATATTTGAAACAAGAAAACAAATAATAATACTGCAAATTAGTTGAAAATTAGTTTTAGTTTAGTTTAGTTTTTGTAAGCAATTAGTTTGCCAATTGCAAGAGGTTGTATATAAGTATATTTGATGTATTTGAATATCTTGAGTTTGCCGCAATTTTTTATAATTGAATATTAATTTTATTTCTTAAGCTGCTGACTGAAATGCTAAACAATATTCCTAAACAAGAAATTTGCTTATATTTTATACGTATAAACCATGCAGTCGATGTGTGTCCAACAGACAACAATAAAACATACCAACGCATAGCCATTTATTAATTTATTTTAGTTATTTTCCTTATTTATATTTTTGAATGCAACGTAGTCCATATACAAACAGCGAGCATATTTTTTATATATATTTTTTAGTACCCTTTTGTTGCTGTTTCTTTTTTGACTTTTCTTTTCTTATTTACCTGTAAATAAAAGCTTCCGTCGTAGCATATGAACTTACGTATTTTATATCTAAGCTAAATTTAGCATGTAAAATATATATATATATACATATAGAAAGATTATAAAAACAAAAACAAAAAAAAACAAAAATTAAAAACTACAATTTACAGGGTGATTTTTATGAAAATTCAGTTGTATGTTTGAAAAACAGAAATTAGCATTAACCAATTATGAAAACCAAAACAAAAGAACGTATTTTAATTTTAGTTTAAACCTTTTTTGTTGGGCGCCATATTTAATTTTAAAAACAACATAAAATGGTTAATGAAATTTATATATTAGTAAGTGCAAGAAAATTTTTGTAAAATATTTTATTTTATTTTTAATTTTGCGTTGACCAACCGAAAGCGAGCAGCGGCCGCTTTAATTGTGCAACTCGCATTTGTTTAAATAATTAAGGAATAAACAAAAAAAAAAAACAAAAAACGTTGTTTCTGCATGTGTTAAATTGCAATGCATCCAAAGGTCGAAGGTCGAGAGGTGGTTATTCAAATTTTTACATTTAGTTCAGACGTAACAAACAAGCTTTAAATTATATAATTTTTATAAAAATATATATACACATGGCATAAAATATACAACAAACAAAAAGAAAACGAAAATGAAAATGAAAAAGCATACATATTTATATTTAACAATAAATGTATGCATTAAAAACCCAAAAAACAAAAACTTGATAAACTATACAATACACACGAAGAAAAAGAATAACATTGAGCAAAAGTGTGCTAATTTGTGCGCCAGGCTTAGTAAAAATATATATTAACGAAAAATTTAATTTATATGATGTATATGTACGTATGTATATTAAATGTAAGCATATTCAGTGTGTGTTAAAGCCGGCAAATAGGTATATATGTATATGGATATGACATCTAAGAACACAAACCCAAATAAACAAAATGATAACGATATGTATGTGTATGTTTTGCTTATGTACAAGTCTACAGTTATATGCGCATACATCTATATAAATACATATATACTAACATATATAAAAATATGCATATATAAACATAATGTATCTAACTATATATACATACATATATGTATATATATACATATATATGTACGACAAAACAAATAAATTAATGCTGAATACGCAAAACAGAATACATAATATTCGAGTATGTAAATTACATTCAAATGCATAGATAAAACATCAGCATGCATGTGTACAAACATAAATGAAAAGTTAAACAACAAACAAGAACTCAAAAATAAATATGCAACACATTAAAACACAAAATGAAACGATATGAAAATATACTTCAAATATATCTCAACTTTCACAGCTAACAATTTAGAACTTAACTTAAAACTTACTTTTTGCTCAAATGTGTATCGCAAAAAATTGATTTGCATTCGATTCTTTGCGATTGAGAAACTAAATACATTGCATATTTATGTATGTCATGGAGTAACATTTATACTATATGTACTTACTTATATATGTGTATCTATTATGGTTGTGCCGAGGCATGTAAGGGCGTCTCTGAAAAAACCCCCAATACAAATACATACCTACAAAAAAAAAAAAAAAAAAAAAAACGAAGAAACAAACAAAATGAAAATATGCGTTAAATGTAAGCGGAATACAGAGTTCAGTAACTTGTATGATTATTTCACTTGTATTATGTGTGGTTGTAGTGGATGGGTCGAAATTGCGTATAGTAAACACGATCATCATTTGAAGCTCCTCCATAGGTTCCTTTAGTTGGCCTCTGTGTATCCACATTGTACCCTGATGATTCACCTTGTGTACCTAAGTCCAAAACCTGACAAGAGTTACATGCATACATATTTATCGCAAATACCAAATACCATACCATTGTTAATGTTGGCGCGCAGTTCATGATCTTTCTTTAAATAGTTTTATTCAATTGCAGACCATCCACTGCTGCCCTGGCCAGAGAACATATTTACATACATACAGTATATATCGAAAGTAGTTCTTGATCTTGATATCTATGATTTTCAGCGCATATGCCGCCAACCAAATATCAGTAGTTTTTTGGTACACTTCATTGCTCAACAATAATATGTCGCAACGAAATTTATGAAAACAAATATACAAAAACAAATACTATAACAGTGCGAATTATTTAAGCGGAAATAAAAATAATGATATAAGTATATAAAAACAATAAATAGTATTTTTTATATACTTAAAAGTTAAAACAATGAAAACGGAAGGAAAGGGGAAGAAAATCCAGTTGAATGCAAAGTATAACAAATAAATAAAAAGGTACAGGCGTAAACTAGATTTAGCTATATAAATATTAAATCTAATAAAGTAAAATTGAAGGTTTTCATTTAAATGGTAATATTTATTTTGTTACATTTAAAACAAAACAAAACAAAACATAATAACAAATATAAAGATGATAATGTTAATGAAGAAAAAAAGAAACGTAAAGACTAGAAAAAACATTTTGTACCCAAAAATGTGAGTTTAGATCGTGAGGCAGTTAGTGAAAAAGTGTGTGCTAATAAAAAATATTATGGAAATTTTGAAAATTATAAAATGCGTGGATAATGGGGCGCTTGAGGGAGACAAATTGCTAATTGAGTATTTAACAAATGCAAATTAAACGGCACAGAACAAAAGTCCATTTAGTGTTTACTAAAATTACACAATTCGCAGGCAAAGCACATCAAATAAAAAATGCATGAATACATATAAGAAATAAAGGTTTTGCTGAAACAAATTCTCAATTGAAACTCTGTCGAACGAAGGGCATTAAACTTATAAAATATTTCTTTTAAGAACAACACGCTAAACAAAAAGAACTCTTTAAATATAAACAATATGTGCTTGATTATTATGAAAACTATTTATGATTTTCGCAATTTTCACTGCAAGGTAAATACGAAAAATATTTAAAAAAAAAAAAAAAAGAATAACAAGTGGTAACCACCTTTTCTCAAATACTCTACATGTCTCAATATCAAGCCCCTGTGAACCAGTTTGTGTGCAATTTAATTGAACACAAGCCGAATTTCAATATATGTATGAGCATAAGTAATGGCATTTTTTGCATGGAACATTATTAGTTTGTCCTGGTTTTGTCAATGCTGAGAATTAAAATGGCATTGCTCTTTTAATTCCATAATCACAACATCACAAAAGCGACAAAGCTAAAAGAAAAATCCACAAAATAATTAAATTAAAAAATGGCATATGGCATATACATATAAGTATATTGAGAAATCGCGAAAGCCAACGTAAGACAATTTTAAAGATGGTAGCGTGTAAGCGCATGAATTGTGAAATAAATATATAATAATAAATGAGAATTCATGTGTACAAAAAAAATTGAGCCGTGTTTTTTCATATCAGACCAACCCATTGAAAAAAAGGCAGTATTTTTTTTTACAATTTCCTTAATGGTTTTTATTTTTTATATATTTTTTCTTTAGTTTTTTCTTCAGTTTTCTGCATCTTCGTCTCTAATGAAAAGTTACTAAATTGAATTATTTGCATGCCAATAAGAACTAAAACCGTTAAATAGCGTTTTACAATTGGTTGTATAGAGTATTTCTCGTATTATTCATTATAGATTTTGTTTATATATTCTCTAGGCTCTAGTTTTTTTTATAACTGTTATCCAAAAAAAAAAGAAGAGGAATAAGTCGAGTTGTAAAAAACGTTTTGAGTTAACTTCAATCAGCAAAGATATTTTAGCAATAAAACAAATTCAAGTTTATTCATTATATTGGAAGTGTTCTTGTTGTTGCTTTCTTTTTTTATTGATGCGCTCCAATTTACACGTATTTATAATCGTTTAAAATAAAATTTAATAAATTCTAGGCGTAAGATAAAGATAATTAATTGCACGAGTTGTCTTCGTATAGGGCCAGACCCCAAACTTATGAGTTATATTTCTTTTTAACCAATTCATAGCTCCTCGGACAACAATTTTGCGTAGTTTGAGCTAATGAGAAGCGGAAACTGAGTAGATCTAGTAGAGTTATGGATGCCCCTGTTTTTGATACTAATTGGATGGAATGTTCATACTATATGTTTCTCTGTGTTTCAATTTTAACTTCGCTTGTTAGTTTTTTTTTTTATTTAATTTATAATATAAATTTAATAATGACGTTTCGCTAATTGTGTATACAATCTCATGTCAAAAACTTCGATCAACTATATATATATATATATTTATAGATATATATATATATATATATATATATATATATATATATCTAATTGTATATATATTTTTGTTGTTTATTAACTTCACTTTGCGTTTTTGTTTTTTAGGCTGATTACGCTTTATTTGTAGGCTGCAAATGCTAAGAAATTATGTTTGATGTTTATATAAATATATTTTTCGTTTAATTATTTATTGTTTTGTTTTGTTTCATTTTCGCCATATTTTTCATAATATAGTACATATACATAAATTGAATTTTGTATATTTATAAACTGCATATTTTGTTTTTCAATTGTTTTTTGTTTTCTTTTTTTTTTGTTTTTTTTTTTTTTTGTTTGTTGTATATAATTCTGTTTTTGCTTTGTGGGTTTTTGTAATATATAAATTGAAAACTTAATTGTAATTGTAAAAATTTTAAAACTAGTAATATTATTTATAATTAATTAATTAGCATAGTTTACGTTACGTTTATGTAATTTAAAGCAATAACAAGCCATTTTTATAGTTTTTTTTTCTTTTTCTTTTTTGTTCATTTTGTTTTCTCTCTAATTGTTTGTTTTTGTTTTGTTTTTTTTTTTATTAAATTTGTTAAATAGTTTTGTTTTCTTTGTTTTGTTGCAAAAGTATTCGGAATTACTAATTACTGCAAATTGCTTCATTATCTTTGACATAGATTTGTTTTGCCATATGCGTACGCATATATTCATAATTAATTTAATACGAATTTATCGTCATGTCAAGTGTTTGTTTTTGTGTTCGCGAAGGTGGAATATTTTATTTGTATATATTATATATACCTTTCATTGAATTTGTGTTATATTAGATTTACTTTTACTTAGTTGACTGCACAAAATTTACAAAAATTACGTCTTCAACTCGCCAACGAGAGAACCGACACCCTGGAGAGAGGCATTTAAATATATCTCAAAAATTGCACAATTGAGTCACACCTGACAGCGGATAGCGGACAGTGGACACACCTGTGTGTGGGCTGCCATTCCACCTGCACCTGCATCTGAATCTGCATTTATCTGATTTTGTTTTTTGTTGTTTTTTTGGTTGCGCGCAAATGCCATTTTATTAACCCGATGCATTGTTTGTGGTTGGTTTTCGTTTACTCGTTTAACATATATAAAAATATGATTATAATTATTTGCTAAAAACCTCTAAAATGTACGCCATGTTTAAGGCATTTAGAAATTGCAAAGAAGAACATCACCAGACAAGATTTATGCTGTTGTTGTTGTTGTTGTTGTTGTTGTCTCCGGCCATCAGTAGTGCCGGATTATTACAAAAATGGTATTAAACGCGCGATTTTAAGCACGTTTTCCAGAAATGCGCTCCACAAATCGTTCAATCGCTTCGAACGTGACATCAGAAAGCGCCAGATGAGCAGCACGGCGACCACTTTTATTAGCTGATGCAGATAGTACAATCTACAAAAGATTGATATATTGTAAAGTTAATAAATTAACTTTAAAATAACATTAGTTCTTAACACCAACCTGACCATACGCTTTCTGCTGGCGGGCAGCGATTCGGGCCGCTGTTTGAACAAAAATTCCCTGAAGCCCAATACATAACGCTCCACGTATTTATCCCAGTTAATGTTGCGCACATCAAAGACAAAAATCTCACGATCCTTGGGACTGAGCGTATGCAGCAGACCATTCACATTATCGTCCTTAAAACGCCATTGACGCGTGGCAAAATATTCTAAGCATTCTACAGCTTTGGCAATTTTGTTTTGTACGTTGACAACACTGAAAAGTGAAGAAGAAGAGCTGATTAAAATGCCTGAATTGGTATTAGCCTGCGATAGCTGCGTGTGGGAAAGATGCTGCTAGATAGATTTTTGCTTCCCCAGCTTGATGTACTTACAATGGCTTCTTGCCCATTATGCGCGCCACTGCATCCAGTATGTGGGCTGGTAGAAAATGTTTTAATATACAATTCAGCGTGTTCATGGGACGATTCATGCGCAGGTCACCAGTTGGATACCACAGACAACCCTCTATAAGGAATTTAAGAGTAAAATATTAAATTAATTTCTTTGTTGATATATTTGCCAAAAAAAAAAAACCTACCCAAGGGATGTTTGCGCACACTGGACATGGCATATTTGACAAACTCAGACCATATGATGGGATTACGTTGACCGGTACAACAATTGTATATGAGTAAATTATTGGATTTACGCGTCGCTGTGCGCCAGGCAGCGGCAATCATTAAATTAATCACAATATCAACAGGTACCATATCGGCCACATAGTTCTTTTCGCACATCATTGTGCGGAAGAGGCCCTTGGCCAGCGCCGAGACTAGACCCGTTGGCCCATTGAAGTTATCCACCCAACCGGCAAAGGGTTCATTCAGGCTGGCAGTCACTATAAAAATATATATACATATATAAAGTTGACACTATAGAACATTGCTTTCTATGACAGACTTACCGATTGAGGGCCTCACAATGGCAACGGGCAGATTTCCAGCCTCTTTAAGTAACATATGCTCCGCTAAGGCTTTTGTAAATGTATACGTATTTGGGCGCTTGCCAATGAGGCGCGGTGTCAGCTAAGAAAAGATCAGTTAATAAACATATATAACTATAATTCCAGTGATAATACCTGATCAAGTATATCCTCCGGAAGCCAGTTGATTAATGAGATGATATCATCGGGATTATAGGGTGGTGCATATATAACCTCTGATACGTCGGTTCTATCGCAATTGCAATAGGCAGTGGATACATGAATAAGTGCCTGAAATATATGTGCATCGGTAGGGGGTAATTGCGAAAAGTTTGACCAAGCGGGCTACTCACGTCTAGGGACATCATGCGATGACAGAGTTCGACCAAACGTTTAGTGCCCAGCATATTGATTGTGACTGACAATTTGAGCTTCTCATCGAATTTCACAGTGGCAGCTGAATGAAATACAACGGAAACGTTGCGACAAAGTAGGGTCTGCATAAAGAGAGAAAGTTATGGTTAGTATCAAGGTCTATAACTTGAATTAAAGAGTACGCACCTGGTCGCTCTCTGAGATGCCCAGCTCCTCGGATGTTATATCGCCGGATATGGGTATGACTTTGCTTAATTCCTTCGGCTTCTCGCGACGCAGTGATTCGAAAAGCTGTCAATTAGACGAAGAACGGTTAGTTAAAAAGCTGATTTGATATTTTAAAGAGCTATGCATTACCGGCGCATTTAGGAGTTCCGTGAGGCGCGCCGAAACTTCCTGGCCGCGTTTCGGTCGTATCAGCAGATATATGTTTCTTATGTCCGGACATGAACGTAACAGTTTCTCAACGAGCACCTGAAGAGGAAATATTAAGTATTACTTAATTTATTAAGTGTGCACATAGCCAAGCCATAAGACAATTTACGGAAAATCCAATCCACCCATATCCTTAGTGGAAATGGAAATACAAAGTTTGGTGGGGAAAGTTCAAGTTAACAATGCACAGTTAAAACGGTGCATCTTTAAAGGAACGTAAACTTCTATGATATGAATAAGGGGAGCCCACACATTCTATATTTCACGCAAAAGGCTGTAATCTGTTTTCATAATACCTCCAGCATTTTATATTATTGAAAATCACTTTGGCTAACTGGACAGCTCGCAAAGGCTGCCGCACTAAGCATTTGATTAATCAATTTTAGTTAGTTTTTGGCCAGCTTACCCCTATACAAACAAGACGCATCCATTAGCCCAGAAACTATAATTACGGTCAGCCAATCAGACAGGCCTTTTTTATGGACTTGGGAGGGGGCAGCAGTTCAAGTGGCGGCCAAGTGAGCAGTCAAACAACATCAAATGAATGGGTAAATGGTTAAATGCCGAATCGAGTGTTATCAATGGCCATTCACGAATATTGTTAAAGGACATTGACTGCAAGTACACACAGCCTGACACGCCCAAAATAACAAAGTGAAAATTGTATGGAAATTACAAGCACACAATTATAGTGACAAGAACGTGGACTGTAAAGGGGGAGGGTCTGCTGTGACGCGCAGGTAGCAGGTTGTGACATTTAAATTACAGTGCCTGGCAACTAGATTACAAAATCGATGAATGCTACGCCCCAGCAAATGGCAACAATGGGTATAGTACGCGCAAAACAAATAGCGTTTGACACACTGTGCAATTGAGTGGCAGAGTCTGAGCGGCGCCGGCGCCAGCCATTACATGTCATAATGGCGCAGGCAGGAGGCATGCAACGCACAAACACACACGCATACACGTATGCAAAACAATGGCTGAAATTGGCACAACAGCCGACGGATATGTAAGGAGTCTAGAGGCAGAGTACAAGTTATATGCACACACACACACACACTTGACAAACAATTAGAGCTGATGTGACATGTGTGTGAGTATGTGTGTGTGTTTTTATGCAAGCTAGAGATGTGCACGTGCCTAGAAATACATCTACGAAATACATCAAGAGACAGTTGGATCAAACTATCGCAACTGAGCTTATCCCTAACTCGAACTATTGATACAAATAATTGAAAGAAACTATCATTTGTGTTTAGCAAAACCCAATAAAACTGACGCACTTAAATAAAATGACTAAACAAAATATACAGAAAGCTGTGCGTCAGAAAACAAATATTTTTTGATATGTTATATGCCATGCTCGCCCGCGCCCATCTCCAGTGCGAATCATGTGCCTTAGACATGCCAGGACGATGAGTCAACACCAGACACTCTGGCTGAGATGTCAATGCTGGAAAACGCTTTAAACACTCGATATCTATTGGGGCACACACACCCAGTTGTTTGTTTGAGTTGTCGATTTGCATTTACTTAGCTTAGTGCGTTCCGACGAATAGAGTAACCTCATTTCGTTCGTGTGTGTGGCTGACAGGCGTGGCCGGGTCAAAGAGTTCAACACTCCATGATGCAAATGATGCGAATAACAATTGCATGCAACGCACGTGGCGTATGCGTGATGCGTGCTGCCCACTAAAGTAGGCAATAAAAATTGCTAAAGCCTAGCAACAGTCGAATTTTTGGTTGGTAACAGGTTAAGCCAAACTTTTTTTTTGTATTTATTTAAGTGTATTTGCAGCTAAAGGGCAAAGTTTAACTTTAAAGCTAAGGAATAGCATGACCTAAACAGTTAAGCTGAGCATTTGGTATTCAGCTTACATATCTAATCTGAAATCTGACATGTCGCGTGCTCATCCCTTTTGGAAACGTTGTTAAAATCGATTGTTCGATTGTTTAGTTAATCAACACAAACGCGGAATCAGACACGGTTTTACAGGAATCCCGAAACGCATCCTTTCAATCGATTAATCGATTACTTGCTTATACCATAACCAAAAGGGTATTCATTCTACATGCTGCTCCTAAACAAACACTCAACTATTCGGTTTATGTAATAGCTCGAATACTCTTGTCTACCATTTACAAGGCGTTTTAGAATAATACATCGATTAATCGATAACTTACCTTGCCCATAAAACCGGTCCCGCCCGTAATGAATACACTCCGTCCAGCATAGAACTGTCCGATGGGCACATAACTGGTATCATCGACTCTGTAGCTCTCGTACGGTGACTGCAGGCCGCCATTGCTGGGCAACGCTGTGGCCGGCGCGCCGCCGAGCAGCGCCGCATTGTGGCCAACTGCGGCCGCACCACTTCCGCTGCCGGCACTGCCCGCACCACTTCCACTGCCGGCGCTCGCATAGCTGACAGCTGCGTGCGCCGCAGCAGTGAGTCCATTGCTGCGCGGCTGATGCGACGAGTGGGTGCCGTTCAGCAATGAGAACGCTGCATCGCTGTTGTTGTTGCTATTCTTGAGGCAGTTGCTGCTATTGCTGTTGCTGTTGCTGTTGCTGCTGCTGCTGCTGCTGTGCGGTTGCTGCTGTGCGGGCTGTGGCGTCTGTTTGAGGCTATTGCTGTTGTTGTTGCTGCTGCTGCTGCTGATGCAGTTTTCCGTTTCTGTTTTGTTGGCGACGGCGTGTGACATGTTCGTTGCGTTGTTGTTGCTGCTGCTGCTGCCGTTACGTGTGGTTCTTGTTATTGTTTGTTTCTTTTTGTTAATATATATTATAAGTTAGGAAGCAGTTCAATTCATTTGCAATGTGCGCTTTTCAATTTGTTCTTCAGCTAAAATTAATGTGTTTTTATTGTTCAAGTTTCGCTTCGCTTTTCGCTATTTGCCTTTTTCTGTGTAAGTTTTTTTTTATATTTTTTGAGGGAAGTTTTCTGTTGTTTACTTGGAACACAACGCAGCTAATTGGCTCCTTTAGCTAATTATTGTACTGGTTAACATATATATATTTATATATGCAATTCAAATTTCACAGAATTTCGCTGAAAATGTTCGTGCTGCTGCCGCCGTTAAGCATTCTTCCATTTTCGTGTTGCTGTCGACTTTAGTTGCTTAGCAATTGGAAAGTAGGTTCCCGTAGATGGAGCCAAACAGGAAGAGTCCTGTCCGCATGTGTATCCTACTAGTTGTCCTTATGGATGTGTGTTTCTTGTGCTTATGTGGAAGAGGCGACAAAAGCTGAAGAGCTGCTAAGTTCTGCTGAAATTAGAGAACAAAGAGACACAATTATAAACATTTATTTAAACAGTTAGAAATGCAAAAAGAAAAATTTAAATAAATTCAATTTATTTTTCCAAGTCATGGATAAAAAAATCAAAGTGACATCTTTATATTTAGCCCGAGCTGCAAGTCGAAAGTGAGGCGGACAACCAACGTTCAACTGAGAGAACCCACATCACAGACTGCTTGCTGTCTATCTATCAAAGTGTCATGCGAGCCTGTGCCTAAAAGTAGTTGCCTTTGACACATGTGGCATGTGCGTGAGGAAGCCCCAAAACGGATGCCACAATGCTTCTCAGGCTGGCGCAAGCATCAATTTCGGCCAAATGACGTCGATGGTACGATTTTTATCCTTGGATGGCAGCCAGCAATGCCCTTGCCATGACGTCTGAGGCAAACACAAATTACAGATGCTAACACACGCGGTCTGATATCCTTTTACACTCATGGGCTCAACCGCAATTCAATTTAACGCACAATAGCACAAAATATGCAAAGCTCTTTAAGACTTTAAGCCGCTTAAGGGCAGGCCTCAGCCAATTGAGAAACTAACCAAACAGAAAAGCGGCTAAAACCACACACACAGCGTTCGCCGAGAGACTGCTGTCGATATCGATGACAGATTACGAATGCGCACTCTGCCGCCTGTGGACGGGCATTCTATATTGAAATGTCCAAGTGCGTAGCGACAGCGAGTTATTTGGGACTGCTGAAAGCGACGAGATGATTGGCACATTTTCGCACATCGTCAGACTAGGAACAGAGTTAGATTCAAGCGCTGACCCAGCCTAGCTGCTAGGCAGATGCGCTGTAAAAGCTGTCACGCAAAGCTTTTTACACAGACACAAGCTACGCACACGCCAAAGCTGGGCGCCTAGCAGCTCGGACATGGGCAGCTTGCAAATGCTCACCAATACTAATGCAGCCAAAGATAGGAATAGATATTTAGTGGTATGGTTTAACTGCTCCAAAAGAACCTATAAGCTCAACCAAAAGCAATTTGACTTATTTACAAATCAAGCCCACGTCATCTTCTTACTTTAAGTTGTAAAAATATTGAATGAATCTGTCAACAAAATGACAGCTACAGCAAAAGCCAATGCAAATGCCGCTAAGTGATTGTTGTTTTGTTATTGTATATAGTCAAGCACAAACAGAAATTACCATTTCGTTAGAACTGTGCGTGCGTGTGCGTGTGTGTGTGTGTGAGTGAGTGTCTGTGCCCCAAAGAAACGATTCCGTAACCCTAGGGCCAGGAAACACACCCTACGCAAGGTACGGAACTATATCGATCAGAGTTCAAGTTATCGCATGTAAACAGCATCTGAGCTACTTCCCCTTCCCTCTTGCACGGCGGAGAAAACTTTGCACCTAGGAAATTATTGCCGTAATGCCTTTGCTAATTACCATAAACGGCAACAACAATGGAATTCAAATTAAACACTGTCCAAATATTGAACATAGACAGGAACTGTGAATGCGACACGTTGCGGTGATTAACTCATGTTTGGTTTTTTTTTCAGTTTTTTTTTTTTTTAGGGAACATCTCCGTAATGCGGACATTTGAACGCTGCTGCTGCTGTCTGAAATGCGTCTCAAATTCAAGTCCAAAGCAGGGCCAGCCCATGGCTTTCACTTTTAAATATCTAAATTCCGCAATTTGTTGTTGTTATTTATTTTTTTTTTTTGACGTATTTAAATTTGGTAATTTTTTTGGTTGAACAAAATGTTCAAACTTTCGTTTTCATTTGGCGTGCAGCAAAAATCTATTTCCAGAGAGAGAGAGAGAGAGAGAGAGAGAGAGAGAGAGAGAGAGAGGAAGAGCGACCCACTAAGCGTATGAGAGAGATTTTGTTGATTTTGGTTATTTTTTTTGTTTTTAGGTTCATTTGTATTTTGAATTTCTTTCACTGACGCAGCGTTTATTGTTTATTTGTTGTTGTCCGGTTAAGAAATGTGTTAAAATGCGCCACGAAATTGGCACAGCTTTTCTCATGATATTATCGAATCATATCCGCTGCCCCGAGTGGCCCATCAAACGAGCTACGAACTACTGCTAATAGCTGCCGTATAATTAAAGTTTAAACAACTCGATGCCATCTGGACAATCGAGCGGTCTCATCACGTAACTGTAAATTTATCAATGGAGCTTCCCAGGGAATCCAGTTTTTTTCGGTCAGCAACATCTTCTGCAGGCGCTGCCGCCGCCTCATTCTAAAGTGAAATTTCTTGAAAATCAACTTTTTCATCGCATGAATTCGCGTGCTCTCTCCCTCTCTCTCTCTCTCGGTCTTTCTCCTTTTATCTCCCTCTCTCTGTCGGTCTCTATCGCTCTCTTTCTCTCTCTCTATTAGTCTTTCTCCAAGTCTTCCGCTCTCTGCGGAGCGATATTTAAAATTTGCGCGCCTAAGCAAAGACCAGGCTGAGACCCAACATGTACCACCGCGCACCACTGCACCACCAAACGAACCACGCCTCTGCGCGTGTTAACCAAACATGAAGACCAATCTGTAACTGCAGCGTTGTGCTTACGTATGCGTGTGTGTGTGTGTGTGTGTGTGTGTGCTGTTAAACGGTAAACATTCAACCTGCCTTGACAAGGTAGTTACACTGTTGTGCCTGTGTATTGTCTGACCCATTTCCTATAATCGTGCCGCATATCATCATCGTCAGCGTCATCGACATCGACAGCAGCGACAACAACAACAACAACAACAACAACAGAAACAGAAACAACAACAACAACAATAACAATAACGACATCGGCAACTGGCCCTGGTCTCTTATACACAAGCCAGCTCGTCTTTGTCTGTCCATTACTGGCCACATTTTAGGCCAATACCCTTGGCAAAAATCAGACAACAACCACTTGATAACCAGTTCTGTAACCCCACTAAATCTTACTCGAACACGTAACACATCTTTTAAAAATGCATTAACCTTATAAATTAAATAAATATACAAATTAATCTGCGATCATTAAATATCCCATTTAAAAAGTGCTGACAGTTTTATGTAAACATTATATTATTAATATAATTGTTTTTATTTTAAAATAATTATATTTATAAAAAAAAATAAAAAATATTTTAGTCCCATTGTCCCACTGTGCTTGTGATTGTTAACGCGCTTTTATTAACGGAGCAAGCTTGAATTAAATATAGATAATTGATATTGAATTGAAAATAGATAAATATTTCTTAAAACGGACAAAATAAAATAATTAGGTGCTCCAACCAACACCGCTTTTCCTATATAACGTTGAGAATACATATACTAAAAGAAATTCCCCGGCGTTTCTCGTAACTATATACGACATACATGAATTTTCATCGTTTTAATGTTGGAAAGTTAGTTTCGGTTCGTTAAACAGCGCTTACCCCATTTAGGAGCAATGTAAAAAACTAAAGCAAAGCTTAATTAAAAGCTTAAAAATCACTAACATAACACTTATTTAATCGACATTTAATATTCATTTAATTTTAAAAACTTGCAAAATTTAAAGTAGATTTTATGAAAGGAACGACTTAAATAACTGAATATAAATAGCAATAAAATATCAAAACGTTTGCAAACATGTTTTACTGTAGTGCATACATTATTCGTTGGGTCGGCTTCAATTCTTTGAGTCTGCTTTCCGATTGCACTTTATGCCGCATTTGCTGGTTCTCTATTTCAGAGAGACCTTGTTGCTTTCGGATTACAAGTCTTTTGGGGCTTGAGGAACACGCGGAAGCACTGCTTGACATATCGTATAGACTCTGGCCGTGGTCTAATAGTGAGTTCTACTGTTTGTTTTAGCAATTTCGAAGAGTGCTTCATCAATCAGAAGACGAGGCGACTACAAACGAAAGTTCAAATACACATATTTTCACTTTTCGACAATGGGGCACATTATGTAAATGTAAATCCCGAGCGGATGCTGTGCACAATACGGCATCATAATGGGTCTGTGCCCTCTATTCTATTGAACCTTTAAAGTCTGACGAGTGTCTCGTTACTGTTGTTGTCTATTGTGTGTGTGCGTGTATGTGTGTTGGTTGTGTGTGCCTCCGCCCGCCGTTCCGTCTGATTTTACAGTTATCGTAAGTTATCTATGCTTTGTGTGTAATTGAATAAATCTGTGACAGACTATGCGGCGAGCTAATCTGTGCCCACAGTTCTCTGCAACTGGTGCCTCCACCTCGGCCTGTGTGCCCATAATTTGCGCATTTGATTAACAAACAAAGCGCTTCGCAGTTTACAGCATAAAAGTTAAATTTAAGTGTGTATAATGGGGCCCCCCGGCAGAGTGAAACCGTTGTCGCTGCGCTATGCCGCACAAGCCCCCGCACTGCCCCCTCAGTTTCCATATGTGTCCCAGCAGCAAATTTCCATTGCCCCAACTCATAGCCAGCGAATTCAGCACAATTGAAACTCAGCTGACGGCCTCTCAAAGTTAGATATTAAATAATTTACAATTAGAATTTATATATATTTATTTTTAGCCAGCGCATGAGCTAAGCCTCTAAGTTAAGAACAATGTCTAGAGCGCCAATTAAAATAGGCCCGACTAATTAACCAAAACAAAACGAAAAAACCAAATATATATTATAAAGCCGCCCACACACGACAATGCCACTTTTTAGGCACTTGTGATTTATAAAATTGCGTTGCAATTTTCTAAAATTAAGATTTATGAATTGCGCGAGAGCACGTGAGATTGATTAGAGCAAAGAAAATGTGTTGTGCGGCCCAGGGGAAAAGCTGAGCAACTTGGCGAATTATAATGCCAGGCGATTGACGATGATAAGAGCTGAACAAAATGTGCCTAAAAACACAAAAACAACAGGAAGATGCAAAGAGAGAAGATTATCAGCTCGCATGGAATGTGATAGTTATTCAAACTAACAGGAAGAATAAAATAATCAACAAATGAGTAAGAGGCCTGCATGTGCTGTTGATACTGTAAAGGCTATAGATAAATCATATAATTGCAT